CAGCAGCAGCAGCAGCAGATGGGGAGGCGCAAGGGGAAGGGGAGGGGGAGGGGCGACTGCAGCAGCAACGGGGAAGCGGGGCTCGCGAAAGAGCAGCAGCAGCAGCAGCAGATGCGCAGCAGCAGCAGCAGCAGCAAATGTAAAGCAGCAGCAGCAGCAGCAGCAGCAGCAAGTTAAGGGCAGCAGCAAATGCATGAAGCTACAATATATGATTAAGCGTTTTTAAAATATTAAATTAAAAGAAAATGAAAAAGAAAAAATGGAAAAGAAAAAAGAAGCAGCAGCAGCAAAAGGCAAGACGCACTGCAGCAAAATAATAAAAATAAAAAAGATTTGATTATAAACAAAGAATTGAAAAACAAATTTATTAAATATAATAAATGCCAAATTAAAAAATAAATGAATAAGCAAACCAGAATAATAATCAATGACAAACAATTCATAATTAATGAACAAAAGAAAATAGAATAATCCAGCTGCTGCTGCTGCAGTATCAGCTGCTGCTGCTGCTGCTGCTGCTGCTGCTGCTCTTGCTGCACCCCCAGAGAAAGTCAAAAACAAAAAGCTATCAAAATTTTTTTATAATTTGCAAACTCAGATAAATATATATAAGCATATCTACACTTATTGCTGCTGCTGCTGCTGCTGCAGCAGTTGCAGAAGCAGCAACAAGCACAACCGCCACAGCCTCCGCTGCTGCTGCAGCTGCTGCTGCAGCCGCTGCTGCAGCTGCTGCTGCTGCAGCAGCTGCTGCTGCTGCTGCAGCTGCTGCTGCTGCTGCTGCTGACCTGTTCGATGTTTCTTCCCACGCCCAAGTCGTATCTGTTTCTGTCGAAAGAAGACTGGTCCATGTTTTCAATTGTTGTGGAATTCTGCAAAAATAAAAAATAAAATGAAAAAGAATTAATTATTTATTTATTTATTTAATTATTTATTTATTTATTTATTTATTTAATTAGTTAAAATAAAATTTTCAACTTAATAATTAGCTGCATGCACTTGATGCCCAAGACGTAGTGCTAAGGCTTTAGTTCTACAATTGAAATCAAACAAACAAACAAGCTGCATGAGATCTAGCTAGCTTTAGGTGGGTGGGTGGGTGGCTAGCTCGCTATCTGCGTATCTATCCATTTAACTAGCCAA